ACCTGCTGCTCTACCCCCTGGGGCTCCTGCCCAAGGCCCAGCACAGGTACCTGATCTCAGCTGCTTCCTAACCCCTTGCAGGCTGTGCAGATCTCCAGCCTCATCATCCCCAAATCCAGGAGCGATTCTGCTTCCTCCTGCCTGTTTCAGCCCCTTGCCACAGACTCGGGGATGCTCCCTGAGCTCCCTGAGCAGGACGCGGTGGCCGCAGACGCCGCAGGGCTCGGTCCTGGCCCCGCAGTACTCCTCGTGCTCCTGCAGCTTGTTGAATGCCAACTGGAGGTCACAGAAACGGCAGAGCACGGGGCGCAGGGGACAGGCTGACACCTGCAAAACACACAGCGTGCTCTGCTGTTGCCCTGGGCAGAGCCTGGAGTAGGATACTGGGTGAGAAACGCGAGCACGGCGTGTTGTGTACCCTGTGGAGACACAGGCTCAGCAGCTGAAGCTCTGCAGATGCTCAGAACAGTGTTTTCCATCTGCAGTGCCTGGGCAGAAGGGTCACATGGAGCTTTTTGCAGTTGGGTTTAGACACAGGCCTGAAATCCTACCACGTTCCACTGAGAGCTGCTGAAAAACTTGTTCTGACTTACACCCCCTTTACTACTCGACAACAACTGCTGGCAAAAGTTCCTCACCCCACGCTGACACCAGCCAGGGGAGTTGCCCTCCAGATAAAACACGTGTTGTAAGTGCAGCAATAAACATCAGTGTCTGCTTTACAAACCATGCCAGAAGCAGCACACACAGACCTGCAGGGTAAGTGACCTGGAGGGCTCAGAACTGGACAGATTTCCAGAGAAAATCCCTTTTTGCTCAGCACTCAGCAGGCTGAGGAGGCACTCCCAGTGCCGTGGGAGGCACTGACATCTCTAACAGGATTTGCCTGTGACAGCAGCCAACTGGATTCAGAACTCAGAAAATCCCACTGTGTCCTATTTTAGCTTGTTTTAAGGGCTATTTTTAAAGTCTGTTTGGACAGGAGGAGTTATTAGAACTCTCACAGGATGAGTGCAGCAGAGACACAGAATGGGAAAGGGATGGAAAAAAGCCATGTTAATCATATTTGGTAAGAGCTGGTTTTAACCTGATCAATAACCAGGCCAAAAAATCACCTATCATCACAGACACCTCTCTGATGTGAAGACCTGAGTGGCTCTCCAGCACTTTAAGGCAGTTTCCAAGCCTTTCTCCCAGAGGGTGTGAATTTAGGAAGCAGCAGTTAGTAAGAGGATGGAATCCAGGTCTTGGCTGACAAACAGCCTCTGGAACCAGAGCTGGAAACACAGAGTATCTCCCAACAACAACACAAACTCCACCAACCTCATGATCCTTCAGGAGGCTCTTTTCAATCTTCATCCTGCACTTGCAGGTAACCTGGAGCAAACAGAGCTGGTTAGACTCACTGCCACAGGAACTAGCAATTCCAGAGGGGGAATGTGTTTCGCACCTCCACATGTTCAGCCTTGATGTGGTTCTTCATCTCAGACTTTGGGATGCAGTCACGGCAGTAAGGACATATTTCAATGTTTCTCCTACAGTGGATCTCATGGATGATGAAGTTAACTGCAGGAATATGCTTTTTGCTGGGAGAAAGTCACTAAGGTTAGTGCAGAAATGCACCGACAACAACTTCAAGCAGTTTTTTTGGTAACAAAAAAACCCAACAAAGCTTTCCATGAATCCATGGGCCAGAGCAGTGAGTAACCCCAGGGAAAGGCCCAGCCAGGCCTCAAGGCCCAGGTGGGTATTGATGTATTCAGCATGCAAAGGTCACATTGCATGAAGATAAAATCCAGGTGGAATTATTTCCTTACTGAAACACAAACCTTGCAGCACAAACCAGTCACCACTAACTGCAAGTTAATCAACTAATTGGAGAAGAGAAACATTTCTTCCTGAAAATAACTTGGCTGTGGGAGGTCAAACAGTGCTCTGGCTTGGAAAAATAACCCACAGATCCTGCTAGGCCAGACCTGGGCAGGGAATGATGGAATCATAGAGGGTTTGGGGTGGAAAGGACCTTAAAACCCATCCAGTCCCACTCCTCCACCTTCCTCTAGCCCAGGCTGTTCCAAGTCCCAGCAGGAACCACATTCCTAAAATTCCCTCACTTCTAAGATGTATTTTCCTCCCTTCCCAGGCTCACAAACACAAAAGGACCAAAAAGAGACCTGAGGCACCAGGAGCTCAGTCCTTACTCCTGCCTCAAACAAGGCAGCATCATTCCTGGACGGATCCATCATCCTCCCACCAACAAACCAGCCTGGAAAACCCTCAGTGTCTCCCCTGGCAGATCCCAGGCAGCCAAGAGCTTGGCAAGGCAGCAAAGTGCAGCAGCAGCAGCGTCTGAACCAGACAGACCAAACAGACCAGGCTGATGCTGCAAGGAGCTGTTTGCATTCTGATGCCTCTGGGAGCAAAACAACCCCAAAAGAAGTTAGTTCCTCCAGCCGTTTGTACTCAGCTCGGGAGGTTACGCCACTCCCAGTCCCTGAACTGCCAACGCTGAGCTCTGCAAAGCTCTGACCAGGGAGGAAAACTTCCACAACAACATGTGCCTATTGCTTCTATTTTTGCGCAGCTGCTCCCGAGCCACGGGGCTGCTGGAGGAAAGCTCAGCGCTGTACTTCGTGTGCCTCTCACCGAAAACCCCAGTGCTTCGGTGTTTATCTCGCTGCCTGTGCAGTCAGAACTAGGAGTCAAAGCAGGGAAAATCACACCCGGCCCAGCCCCGGCGATGATGAGCACATCCCCCGGGGCTCGGCGCGGTGACACAGCCCGACCCGCACTGCTCCTTACCAGTTCCCGCAGAGCCGCAGAGACTCAGCCTCGGGCAACATCGGCATGGTCATAGCTGGGCCGGGATCAGCGCTGCTCCCCCGGGGCTGCTCCCGCAGGGCACGGGGAGGGACGGGAGGGAGGAGAGAGGGAGTGGAAAGAGGAGGAGAAGGAAGGGAAGGGGAGGGAAGAGAACGGAGGGGAGGAGAGGG